TAAATGACCTTGACTTACATTCAAGGTCACAGGGGTCAACTATGTTTAAAACCTTTAAACAACTTGTTCTGAATAACCGAGACAGCTAGGGTGATGATATTTGGCAAGTAACATGCTGGGATGAAGGGCTACCAAGTTTGTTCAAATGAATGACCATGACATATAATCAAGGTCACAGGGGTCAAATATGTTAAAAACCTTTAAACGACTTCTTCATAAGCAAAAGGCTAAGGGTGATGATATTTGGCCATTAACATGCTGGGATGAATGGCTACCAAGTTTGTTTAAGTGAATGACCTTCGCCCATATTCAAGGTCACAGTGGTCAATATATGTTTAAATCTTTAAATGATTTGCTCTGTATAACCAAACGGTACAGGGTGATGATATTTTGCTAGAAGCATGCTGGGTTGGAAGACTAAACTCTGTTCAACCTAATGTCCTTTTTCANAGCATGCTGGGTTGGAAGACTAAACTCTGTTCAACCTAATGTCCTTGTTCAACATTTAAGGTCACGGGCGTCAAATGTTTAAATCTTTTAATAGGTTCTTATGAATCAAACACTGATATTCTGCCTGTAGTGTGAGATTAATACCAGGTGAGCGATTCAGGCCCATTGGGCCTCTTGTTTATTACATTAATTGATCTTATTTTTAGTTGCTGTTTCTTCCATAAATCTTAATGACATTGGAAATATCAGTCATTACGTTGGAGCTGACCGTATTTAGTGTATACTGTAACCAATGTCCTGTACAAGTGCTAAGATTTATGTTATTTATTTTTGTATTTTAAAGAATTCAATGTAAACAAAATATGCAACATAATAAGAATTTTGAGCAGTTTAACTGACAAAACATCACATGGAGGGCAAAATGAGAGTTTTGTAGCATTAAGGTACATATATTTAATGTTCAAATACTGGTTAGGTAGTTATACAATTAAGTGTGCTCAATACATATTGTCCGATTTATGAAGTACAGTTTTAAACGTATTTCCATGTGACAATCAAAACTCAAAGCTTATAGATTGGTTTGAGGGATTGTTTGAATATCATTCTTAGAACACTTTAATATTTCACAAAAATAAATACTTTGTTCAATAAAAAATAAAATAAATACAACATCTTTAAGAAGTATAAATCATTGTAACTGTGGTGAACCATTTTATCAGTCAATTGTTATGCATCTAATATAAACTTTATTTATTTGACAACAATTATGAAATAAGTTTTTATAGCTTGTACTATTCACTCGTTGGCCTGGATGTTAGCGCGGGGGATCTAAAACATGGGAGGAAACCGGAGGACCCAGGGAGTACCCACTTGGATGGGCAGTTGACCCAATACCTTTTCACATCTGTCCAATTAGTAGTTAAAATTGTGTTATACATCTTCTATCAAAACAAAAGAAACTGTTATATTGGGGAAAAACTTTAGGACGGAATGAACATAAAAAAGAACATTCAAAATCAAGTACCTGAATTAAGATGTCATTCTGAAATGTTCTTTGGCCTGTGATAGTTATCTAGTCATCCCTGTGCATGGGACATCTTTGTTATAGCCTGCAGTCTGCATAATTGATAATTTTATGTATCTTTATTTATTTATTTTTAAGTTTGTGACTGCTACAGACTACCATCTTAACAGGCGCTAATGGAGAATTTTACTGGAATTTTGAATGTCACTTAGAACTGAAAAAATGTCATCTTTAAAAACCTTTTTGAAAATTCCTCTATTAAATCAAAATCCTAACAGAATCAGATAGAACCTCTTATCAAAGGTCTATACTTAACAGAGGGATTCATTTTGATTGACATGATAATGTAAGTGTTAAAGAGAATGGGGGTGTAAGTCGAACGTTTAACTGTATATGTTTCGGCTAACATTATACCAGCAGACTTTGATTATCATTTAGAAGCACCAAAATTTTAACATGTTGAAGCATAAAAGTTTCTTGAAAATGTCTCAGTTGTTGAAAGAGTACTAATTTGCAAGGAAAAAGAAATTCTTCATAAGTTCATTTCTGATTTATATACTTTTTCATATTTTCATCTTCCTTGTTTCCAGATGATGAATGCTGTCCTAATTTGGGCTGTGGTGATGACGGCAATCAGACCCATTGGATGTACGTACGGAGGGCCTGGGGGCTCGATGTGTCGGCTCCCATCAGTCAAAGGTGAGTAGCCTGCAAGCCAACAAACTGTTCTCGTCACCTGCAACGCCAGACAGGTATGTATTTACCTGTATTACAGGTACCTGTCATTATATGTGTAGGTGTTATGGGAGTTCACAGGGGACCGTTACCTTTAACCTCAGTCCACAGAAGGATTTTACCTTTGACCTATGTAAGTGTTTTGGTACTGACAATATCTTTGTATAAATCTGTGTTATTCAGTCTATGTATATTGTTAAACTATTTTGTCTATGAAGTCCATAACGTATTATAGTCACATGAGTGATCAAGTGCGTCGTGTAGAGACTGGTTTTGTTATTGTGTACTGTACAGTGCTAGCTACATGTAGGAAGGAATTATAGAGTATCTAGTCCATGTGATAGAGACCTATAGATACATGGGCCCACAGAACATTGATTGCTCTACACTGGCTCTTCAACCACACCACCTCTTTGCCTAAATGCTGTGACCATCTTTGCCATGAGGGAGATATAGTTTGGCTGGTGTAGTGTGCCTTCATTATATATTGGAGATGTGCATGTAGTATTGGCCCCAGGCTGTAGTGCTGTACAAACACATTACAAGTAGAATCAATTGTACGGTAGGTATTTTACATTATAATGATGAATATTGTATAGTTTAATACAAGTTCAGCTCTATGTTCAAATATAGAAACACTCCAGATTGAAATTTGGTATGTATAGACTGTATTTGACGTATACTGGTAATTTGAATTAACATTTCAGAGAAGAGTCTTTGTAACTGTGATTATAACTGATATGTCAGCTTATGGCTATTATATGTGAAAAAAGTTTGGTTTAAATGTCAAATGCTTGGTAGGTTGATATTTCTTTCCAGTAATTATTTGTTAACTGTATTTACCGAACGGTACGTATACATGTAGAATGACAATGTCAAGTAGTCTCTGATGTCTGACAGTGATACAGCCAGGCATGGTGAATACACATCGTCTCTTTGGGAATTGGAATCTGTGTGAATAATTTAACACTGGAAAAGGATTCAAGCTTGTCACAAAAGAGTATGAGTGGAGACAAGACTATACATAGTACTAACATGCAATCTCCTCTTTAACTCATTCACTCCTGAAATTTCATAATAAACTATTCCAACCTTTGAACTGGAAGAGTTCAAATGTGTCTTCAGGGGTGAATGAGTTAATGCAGTCAGGGATATCACGACTCTTCCCTGTGTTGTCTGCAAGAAATTAGGTTTCAGGATGCAGGATATTGTGTATTGAGTTCGATGAAAAATATCATGTTAGTTCATTCCCGCCTCCTATTCAAATGTGATTTTTTTTAGTAGAAAAGAAACACATTTAAAGATGAAAATTGAAAAAGTTTTCCATCGGCAACACCCATGGCATCCCACTCTGCCGCCAGTGTCCCTACCACCTCCAACAAACCTGTCTCCTCCTGGATATGTTTAGGCATTATGGAAGTTTTGAATTTACATGCACATACATTGTATACCATGAGAGAAACAAGAAACAACATACAAACCAGGCCATGGTAATTGTTGAATAGTCTTTATAGATATAAATAACATTTCTGGTTTGTGAATTGTCAACGTGCCAAAACTTGCATGCATGAACTATGAAAACATTATACTGTGTCATTTGCCTTATCTTTTGGTACTGTCAATAGCAGGAAGTTTGGCAGCTTAACACAATGCTATGCTGACAAAAACGTTTTTGAAGACTTTTGGATTGTAAAAGACCTTTGTGCTGGTTTATGAGTATAGATGTCGTCAGATTTGACAGATATACGTTTATCAGTAATCTTTCATCAACATTTGATAATTGTCAGGGTTGTAGGAAGACAATGGGATTGGAAGCATCACTGTAGACAAATTTGTTTTGTTTTAAGATATAACATTTACATATTCTAGATGTACTATAATTAGCATCCAAATGAATGACATCATCAGTCACAGCTCTATTGTTTACAGAGTTTTTGTTATTTTGAGGAATTTCTGATGTAATTTAATTAAGTAAAACTAAACCTTGATACATTGTCCTTCATTTCATTTGCCAGTTTACTAATATCACCATTAAATGACTTTAGGACCCTTTGATTGTACTTTTTATACGCCCGTCGAAGACGGGGACGTATTATGTTATCACGTGAGCGGGCGGGCGGGTGGGTGGGTGGGCTTGCATGCGAACGATGTCCGCTCGATATCTCAAGTAATTATTAACGGATAAACTTCAAACTTCACAACAAGGTTAATTACCATGTAACCTCGGACAAGTTCGATAAGCGCCATTATCCGACCATAATTTGTGGAGTTATGCCCCTTTATGGACTTGCCGAAACAGTGTCCGCTCGATATCTCGAGTAATTATTAACGGATTAACTTCAAACTTCACCACAAGGTTAATTACCATGAAAGCTCGGACAAGTTTGATAACCGCCATTATCCGACCAAAATTTGTGGAGTTATGCTCCTTTATGGACTTGTCGAAACAGTGTCCGCTCGATATCTCAAGTAATTATTAACGGATAAACTTCAAACTTCACAACAAGGTTAATTACCATGAAACCTCGGACAAGTTCGATAACCGCCATTATCCGACCGTAATTATTGGAGTTATTCCCTTTGGTTTCATTAATGCGATGCATGTGTTCCATGATGTTGAATTGCACTCATTGATCTACCAGTTATGTTGAATGATTTCTCTTTCAATATCAATTACTCACAAATACTTCATATATTTCAATCATACAAACAACTGCTCATTCAATGTGTGACGGGCGTATTATATACCGCTTGCGGTAACCTTGTTAACAATCGCTTTGAGCATCTTCCTTGATATTGCAAATCCCCTATATAATGCCAAAATTTGACTGGACAAATGATGGCAATATAGCAAATTAAGGTTTATTGTATGTCTCAAATAGTTGGTTGCTTTGACAAAATTGTATAAATTATAGAATCATTACATCAGTCTTTGTGGTAGGATCACCACATACACAGAACAAAATGGTATGTAGACAGTATACTGGAATCAGTTAACATTGTTCGGGTATGATACCTTTCAATGGACATTGGAGACAGTCTAATTTGTTATATCTGGATTATCTTTCTTTGCTCAGTTTACTGTACATACATATCTATGCTGATGTACTGTACTGATATACAATACTATATATACCAATTACACCAATATCTTTGACAGTTTTATATACACATTAAAAACACCCAGGGGCATGAGAATTTTTAGTTCACTGTTGCCAAATTTTGATCAAGTATGACTGATCTTTGATACAACAAGAATTTGCAGTTATAAGTATTTAATACACTGAAGCAAAAGTGTTTGATGTACATACATTGACTTATAAAAGTAAAATTACCAGATAAATATGAAATATTTGAAAAGAAACATATGGCACCAGTTAATATATTGCCCTTGGTTTAGACACATTGATACCTTGATGGCCATCATTATTATTCCACTGCAGCATAGACCTGAATGTCTGCTGTATCTCTCTCCCAAATAGAGTTCCCCGTGATCACTTTAAATCATCTAACAAAACCAACCAGATGTCTTCCAGTAATTATAAAACATGGATAGAAAAAATAAGAAATTTTGCAACATACGTTCAAATTATATTATATATGGGTGGTCGGTGGTACTGTGGATTGTGCACTTGCTTTCCACCAATATGCCCAGGGTTGGATTCCTGATCAGACATGGAAAGGTATGGGGTCACCTTCCTGTCCACTTGGGTTTCCACGGATACTCTAGCTGTTTTCCTCCCCCATAATGGGTTTTCCCAGGGTACTCTGATTTCCTCCCACATAAAGATCCCTGTACGTTTGTAACCATTCTGACCAACAATAAGATTGATCAATATAAGTTAGAACTTGTATCACAACTATTGTAAAAGAAAGTCAAGTTTAATCTTGAAAGTTATATTCTTTTTTAATTCTTAGGGGTATATTCCTAACTGCAGGCACTGTTATTAAATACAGTATACAGTTACATTTTAAAACGACATGATTTGTTCATAACTTGTAAATCAGATATAACTGTAAAAACAAAATCACGATTCTGTTGCACATGATCTGCAGACTGTAAAATTATATGGCCTTTAACTGCTGGCCCTGTGTACAAATTATTGTAGTGTCAATAAACCAACTTAAAGATTTGGCGTCAAGATAACATGTATTACATAGGATGCATGGTCATTTTTTGTGTCTGTGTTGTATACAGGTTCCATGTGTGCAGCATCCCTGCTACAATTTGCTGCACGGGGGCCGTAATCAACTTTGCAGTTTTTCGGAGACAGACATTATAGAAAGCCCCAGTGGTACATACAGCTGTGGTGGGAAGGGTGCTGTTACCAGTGATCTGTAGGAATGTTTACAGATGTTAAATGTCCCGGTGTCTGTCAGCTGGCGCGCCACTGACTCCTGTGGTAACGGAACCCCCAACCATCCAGTTACTGTTTACTCCTGGCACCATTGTTATTTTATAGCTTAAACACACAAATCTCTTGACAACTCATTGAAAGGTAGGGACATTAAACTTATTTATTTATTTATTTTTTATTTTGATTTACCTAGGTTGTGGTATGCATGATCTATGATAATACATAATATTTGTGCTGCGCACAAAATCCGGTGTAATCACTTGCTTTGTTGGAAAAACCACATCATATGATTTATTCATCATCATACACACATGTTTATCTGTATGCTAGATAAGCTTTATCTGTTTGATAGGTTACCACAATCAAATAAATCGATCAGAAAAATCTCCAATTACAATATATGTTTAAGCTGTACAGTATTTTTTTTATTTTATTTTTTAACATTTTAAAGGTTTAATGTATAGTTCTGTGCAGTGCAAGCATGATGCTATACAGTATTTCAGTGGAGATATTCATTGACAACATGGTTATCTACGAGACTGCTGGGAAGATTGGCACCTGTACTTTGTATATATATATAGAGACTTAATGAGATAACTCGTGCTATCTATTAGATTATGCCTTGTCTATACTTGTACTTTAAGAGATAGCAGACTCAGATTCCAATCCAGCACAAACTTAAATCAAAAGTAAACAACATGTTCTTTGCCAAATCCTTGAACCCTTCAACGTTTTGATTGATCACTGTTGGTTCTAGACTCCCTTGTGGACGTCACAGACACTCTATATATATATGTGTTACATACTTGTGACGTCACAGACACTGTATATATGTATTACATACTTGTGACGTAATATTGGCTTCATGACCGCCAGGGGCAATTATGTGGGAGTGAACATCTACGACGCAAGTGTCAATGGTATAGACTGCTAGAAACATTTGATAAATTATTATTTTTCATCAGCCGTTTTATAATCCTAAACTTTTCTGATCCCTTTTGGTGTTTACATCACAATAATTTTGATTTCATATCATCCCGATCTGTATACCTTGTTGGTTTTGATAGCTCTGGGTTACTGGGTCGAAACGACAAACCACAATGACAGAAAGTCACATGAACGTTGCTACGTAATTATAAGTGGCCCCTTGGTTTCTGTGTCAGAAGTGCAATTATAATGTAAGTACGTAGTTGGGCTAAATGCTAAAGGGGAAATGTTACCAGATTTACCTTCATTGTGTTTTTAACCAAAGGTCATGTAAGGTCAAACTGTTAACCATTACTCAATTGACACACAAAATGTACACTCTCATATCCTGCTTGCCCGTCTTGACTACTTGAATTTATACAATTTCTTTGTGTCATGAGTCAAAAGGTCAGGTCCTTAATTCTTCTGATGTTGTGTATCTGATTTCTACGTACATGTAGAAAGGAAAGCTATCCGTATCAATGTGACATCATGATCTGTTTATTAAAATACAATTTGTAAATATTTTACAGTTATTTTCAGTTTATATAAAAAAGAGATTTTATAACAGAATTTCATCCTGAAAATACCCAAGCTGACAGCTACATTGTATGTTGAAACTTACATGCATGGGTCAATGTTGAGATGATCTAAATTTAGCCTGTAAAAATATTTGATATTGAGAAATAATGAAATTGATACAATGTTGTTAGTGGAAACATTGGGACTAGATCCAATATAGTGTGTATATATATATATGTATATGTGTCTTTTTCCTGACATGATTTCTGTACTTTATACAATTTGGAGAAAGAAAACCAGATGTAATGTACACTGTAGGTACTAATGAGTTGATCAAAACTTAAGAACATTTGACAGTTTATCCAGTTTGTCCACTGGGGGATGCATTAGCTTAGCTTAACATGACTCTCTTGTCAAATGCTATGTGTCGGATAGAATGAGGAGAGAAAACTGAAATGGACATCGAAGATACAACACAGATTAGACTACCTTACTGATAGATATTCTGTCAGGAAAAGGAAGATGATTTTGATATGATACATTTTCCAACTTTTACAAGTAATATAACTTGAACTTTGAAGCTTAATATCAAGAGTTTATAGTCAGGACTTGTTTGGTCCAGAGAATGGATTTCTGGTGATAAAGCTGATAATAATATGGATATATAAAAAAGAACAAGTAAACTATCACAATTACAGTTTACTTATATTGTTCACCTAATTGTTGTGCTGGACTTATTTTTCATGTATTTGCAAACAATTTTGTGTTTGTGTTTATAATCTGGTAATTCAAAAAATAAATTTAAAAAAAGCACCACTGGAATATCATAAGGCTCTATACAAAAATAATCAAAACAAATGTCAATGGTTGTTTTTCACATTATGTTAAGAACACCTATTCACTCACAGTTCCTCAGAGACTGACTGTGTTCTATAACTTAAGTAGCTGGGCCAATTTTATTAAGATAAAAATAAACTTAATTAGTTTAAATAATGCTAATGCAATTATAATTAACTTGTGTGAACCAAGTTCAGTATTAAAAAGAAAGCTGTAAAAAGAAATTTAACTACATAATTATTATCGGTCCTATTTTCATATTTCTACGTATATTGATAACATTCTTGTTCTGTACAAATACACTGAGGGCAGTGTCAGCAAGATTTGTATCTAATTTAATTAATTCCCAATTTGTTTGTTCATGTAATGAACATTATAATCAGAAGATACCAACCATACCAAATAGTCACAAAGCGAAAAAATATAGAACAAAAATAAACCAGTTATATCAAAATGTTTATATACCAGGTAGTTTATTTTATTTTAAAACCTGTACATCGCCTGGACTAAGTTTGTGAACACAATCTTCTCTTTATATCAATATCTGCACTGTTATCGTTGCCTGAATTTAGAAAAAGTAATTGCGGTTGAAATTGTTTCCTGTTGTGGTTGTTTAGTAGGTAAAACGTGACAACATTTAACCTGTTTACTTTTTATTTCAGGTAGACGGAGGAACCCCTGTGCCTAGTGAACCTAAACTTTCACTTAAACACTGGTGTATGAAGTTTCTCAAGATTGTACATTGTATGGAGCAAACTCCATCCCACACTGGTCCATCTTAACCTGTAGTAGTTCAATCCCAAGGTCATCAGAGGTCAATTAACCTTGTCATTGTCCTGATAGCTGGGTTATCATGGATACAGCCCACACCCAGGGTTCTGACAGTGGTCAAGGGATCGCCAATCAGGGAGTGGATATTGAAGACTACCTACATCCTCAAGGTCAAGACGTAGTGAAAATGACCTCTGTCCATCCTAACAAGCCAAGTACAGTGCCTGGTCTCCGATACACAAAGAACACGAAGGCCAACAGATTTGACTCAGGTAAATAATTCCTTATCGTTTTCTTTTCTTGGTCAATTAATTTAGTTGTGTCATATTGGGTTAGGGACATAGTACAGTTGACTGATTAAAGGATGGTCTCTTTAGCCAGGTATATATAATTAAAAGTCTCTTAAGGGATGCATAATTGGTCTCTTTACACAGGTTGAAGTGGTCTCTTTACACAGGTTGAAGTGATCTCTTTACACAGGTTGAAGTGGTCTCGGTATGCAGGTATTTTGAGAAGTCTCTTTAGACAGATATAATAGGTGGTATCCTTCAGGCAGGTATATTATAATGATGTCTTTAGGTTGGTATTATATATGGTCTCTTTAGACAGGGACTCAGACATTCCTGATATATGTAAGTTAATTTATTTCTCCTCTGTTTTCCTCTTTGTGAAAGTTGACACTCTGGATATTGTATTTAATAAAACCAATGAAAAAGAAAAAAATGATGTCTAGCTGTTCATCCTTGTGAATATTGGCACCAATACTATGGATGAAGTTTTTGTATACATGTATAATGAAATTGTCAAACTGATGAAAAATAAGAAAATAAAAGCTTTCTGCCAATCTAACTAAAGAGGTGCTGGCACTTTGGAGCTGGGATATAGTATTTGTATGTAGTGAAACTGTCAAACTGATGAATGCTATCTGCTCATCCTTGTGAACCACCTAATTAGGTTCCATATTGATTTTGTAAAGGCCAGTAAACTGTCACTTTGTTCCTCCATCCCGATCTGCTTCCTCCCTCACACAATAGGGACATACTGTTCTCCTGGTTCCTGACAAAGAGACTAATTGGTAGGAGACATCTTTGATGGACCTGAGAATCCACATGTCTGGTTAGCTTAAAGTATTCACGCATTGACTTTAAAGGGTTATGCTTCCTTATTATTTGTCTCCTTTTTATCTTAACAGTACTGTTAATATTCATACCTCCTTTCTATTGTATGCGTCTTCTGGTTAGCTTAACAGTACTGTAAGTGTTCATACTTCCTTACTACTTTATGTCTCCTGGTTAGGTTAACAGTACTGTAAGTGTTAATGCTACCTTAATACTTAATGTCTCCTGGTAAGCTTAACAGTACTGTAAGTGTTAATACTACCTTATATTACTATTGTATGTATATCCTGATTAGCTTATCAGTATTGAAAGTGTTCATATTTCCTTACTACTGTATGCATCTCCTGGTTAGCATAACAGTACTGTAAGTGTCCATGCTTCCTTACTACTTTATGTCTTCTGGTTAGCTTAACAGTACTGTAAGTGTTCATACTTCCTTACTACTTTATGTCTCCCGGATAGTTTATCAGTTCTGTAAGTGTTCATGCTTCCTTACTACTTTATGTCTCCTGGTTAGGTTAATAGTACTGTAAGTGTTCATACTTCCTTACTACTTTATGGCTCCCGGTTAGTTTATCAGTTCTGTAAGTGTTCATGCTTCCTTACTACTTTATGTGTCTCCTGGTTAGTTTAACAGTACTGTTAGTGTTAATGCTACCTTATATTATTATTGTATGTATATCCTGGCTAGCTTATCAGTATTGAAAGTGTTCATACTTCCTTACTATTGTATGTGTCTCCTGGTTAGCTCAACAGTACTGTAAGTGTTCTTGCTTCCTTACTACTTTATGTCTCCTGGTTAGCTTAACAGTACTGTAAGTGTCCATACTCCCTTTCTACTATATGTCTCCCGGTTAGTTTATCAGTTCTGTAAGTGTTCATGCTTCCTTACTACTTTATGTCTTCTGGTTAGCTTAACAGTACTGTAAGTGTTCATGCTTCCTTACTACTTTATATCTCCTGGTTAGCTTAGCAGTACTGTAAGTGTTCAAACTTCCTTACTATTGTATGCATCTCCTGGTTAGCTTAACAGAACTGTAAGTGTTCTTCTTCTTTACTACTTTATGTCTCCTGGTTAGGTTAACAGTACTGTAAGTGTAAATGCTACCTTATATTACTATTGTATGTATATCCTGGTTAGCTTATCAATATTGAAAGTGTTCATACTTCCTTACTATTGTATGTGTCTCCTGGTTAGCTCAACAGTACTGTTAGTGTTCTTGCTTCCTTACTACTTTATGTCTCCTGGTTAGCTTAACAGTACTGTAAGTGTCGATACTCCCTTTCTACTATATGTCTCTTGGTTAGCTTAACATTACTGTAAGTGTTTGTATATCCTGGTTAGCTTAACAGTACTGTTAATATGCATGTTTCCTTACTACTGTATGTGTCTTCTGGCTAGTTTAACATTACTGTAAGTGTTAATACTTCCTTACTACTGTATGTGTCTCCTGGTTAGTTTAACATTACTGTAAGTGGTCATACTTCCTTACTACTGTATGTGTCTCCTGGTTAGTTTTACATTACTGTTAGTGTTCATACTTCCTTACTACTGTATGTGTCTCCTGGTTCAATCTAATTAAAATTATATCTTCACATCGCTCCGGTTTACTGATATGTCGCGTTGAAGATCTAACAACATCCCGTAGAGGGTCATGTTCAGGCGACCTTTGCATTAACCAATCAGATGAGAGCTTGCGCATTTCTGTAAGTGATAATGTAATGATTTCGGAACACACTTGCTATGATAAAAGACCGAGAGGTGTCAAATGAGCATCGAAAATGGCGGC